TCACGTGGACGTCCTTTCGAAGCAGGTGCTTTGCGGGGGAGAGTGAGTGAGGGAACGACGTCATGTCACGTGGACGTCCTTTCAAAGCAGGTGCTTTGTGCGGGAGAGTGAGTGAGGGAACGTTGTCATGTCACGTAGATGGTCTTGGTGTAGCTTATCCTGGCAGGAGCATGGTCACACAGCCCTTCCCGCTCACCGGCCAAGGGCACTCTCTGACCCGGGTGTGGTACCCCTCACCCCTCCGGACACGCTGCCCTGCATCTGCTGCTGACTGGTGGTTGCTGTCTCCACACGAGTGCTGTTTAAGCTCAGCGGCCCCTCCCTCCCCTGAACTGCGCCTGCTGGCAGCCGAGGCTGTGCCCTTGTCCCAGACTGTGCAGCACAGATGGGCCCACTTTGGGCAGCCAGCATTGGCAGGGGCTTCTTTCCTGCCCCGGGGCGGGTGCACACCCCTGAGCTGCTCGCTTCCATGTCTGTGTAGATGCCTCTGTGTCTGTGGATGCTGGAGCGGCAGCTGCAGCCCTGGGGTCAGGAGGTGTGCATGCTGCAGCAGAAGCAGGTGAGGGCTGCAGGCCGCAGCGTCCCAGAGCTCTGCCCCCGCCCACAGGGAGCAGCTGACTCGGGTGGTCCTTCAGGGAACCTTCCTCCTTTTTCTCTAAAGTGCAGAGTGGTTTTCATGGGGCCTCTTTGTCTCATGATGGCTGAGCATTGAGATCTCATTAAAGTCTCTATCGTTCGTCATTCCTGTGGACGCTCCTCCACATGCGTGTAACACCAGCCGAAGCGGGAGTATCACCAGCTGGCTTTCAGGCACTGAGAACACTTACCATAGCCTCCTGCCGGCCAGAGGCACCTGGCACAGAGCCTGCTGCATCACGAGATGTCGTGTGTGTGTTGTGTCACTTGTTGAGTGCAGGCCCCAGGGAGTGGGTCCCGGGACATCACCCTCATGGCCGTGTGTCTGACAGCACTGTGGTTTGTGGTGGTCCCAGCATCTTGAGAGGACTATTGCCTGCTGCCAGCTTGGGGACGGATCAGATTTGAAGGATGGTTTCAGCTGAACCGTATTGCTTGTACCGTCTTGTGGAAAGTCAGGGACCGTCTGGAGTTGGTGTTGAATGTCCTTGAGGAAATTCTGATGATCTCGGCCCTCTGCTGTCTGTTCCTTCCCAGAGAGTGTGTGGGACCCATGTGGATTGAACAGGTGGGGTGGCAGAGGTGCTGGGCTTGGTGCTGTCTGCTCTGGGCAGCTCCCGCCAGCAGTCAAAAGGGAGAGCGGTCTTGGGACCAGCCCCTCAGGTCCTGCAGCCTCGGCTGAGGAGATGGAGGGTGCTCTGTGTGGCCAGAGCATGTTGCCTGGGAAGGGCTCACAGTCCCTGAGGTGGTCTCCCCACGTGCGGTGCGTTTCCCACCCCGCTGCCTCGCGAACACTCACTGCGTGGTTGGCTGGTGGCGTGTCCGGCCTCAGCCCGCAACTCGAGTGTACTGCTGGCCTTCAGGGTTGAGGGTTTCATGGCTGCCCGTCTCCTCGTGGCCGAGCATCGAGAGTGAATTGAAGTTGGTGTCGGTCCTGGCAGACCCACCCAGGTTGGGCTTGGGTGACCCAGGTGCTGCGGCTCCGCGGTTGCCTGTGGATCCGGGCCCCTGAGCTGGGTCCCCAGCCATCAGTCTGCAGTCCGCAGGGCGTGCTGAGCTCCGGCTCACCGTCACCTAGGGCCACGGCAGCGTGTCTGGGGCAGGCTCGCACAGCTGCCTGAGTGGACCCTCCCTGCGAGCTCACAGGGTCTCCAGGGTGTCGCTGTGGGTCAGGTGAGGGCAGGGCCATGCCCACTGGCAGGGCTTGTCCCAGGCCTGCACCTGGCCCTAGGCCATTCAGACCCATGCCCAGGCAAGTGCCCAGGGTGGGAAGGAGCCCACCCGCCTGCTTCTAGGACCTTCCACACTCCGTGGGTGCTGCAGCCTGTGCCCCTCAGCTGTTTGAGAACCGCTTCAGGTGGAACCCGGGGCCCCAGGCTGAAGTCCTTGTGTGTTCTTTGGCCACAGCAGAGGGGCCGCTCTCCACCCAGCCCCGCCCACCAGCCCCAACCTACTAGTTGCTGTGAGCCCTGCGTAGCCACCGGGGGGCTTTGCGGGGGCTTTGTGGTCACGTTTCTGATGGGGCCTTCAATGACTAACCTGTGGCTTATCTGTTACTTTGTTTCTCTTGTTGCTAAAGTGACTATGTTTTAACTGTGTTTGGAAACAGGGAGCCTGGCTACTTGGCTTAGACTTGCTCTTTATTTTAATAAAAGCCTCTTGTTCTGTTATTTTGTTGAGGGTAGAAAGGAATGCTTTGAGACCTGAAAGGAGTTAAGTATGCTGTGCCCACTCTGTGTCCGAGGGCAGAGTTGGTAGAGGCCGGGTTAGGTGCTGACGTGTGGGGAGCAGGTGTGCAGTGAGGACTCTGCCTGCTCTGTGTCCGAGGGCAGAGTGGGTAGAGGCCGGGTTAGGTGCTGGCGTGTGGGGAGCAGGTGTGCAGTGGGGATGCTGCCTCCAGGTGACTTGGTTGTTCCCCCCTCACAGCTGTATGTTTGAGCCGGAAGGGAACGCCTGCAGCCTGACAGACAGCACTGCAGAGGAGCACGTGCTGGCGCTGGTGGAGCACGCGGCTGACGAGGCTCGGGACAGGATCAACCGCTTCCTCCCAGGCGGCAAGGTAGTGCTCCGTGGCCCCGGCAAGAGGGTGCCACTCAGCCCCAGACACTCTGTGGCATCTCCTCGGGGACAGTGCCGTGTGATCTAGCACAGCCACTGGTATCAGGAGGTCACTGTGGGGCCCTGATGGGGGATCCAGGTCAGACACGCAGGAGGCTCGTGGTCCCTTCACTCAGGGGCCGGGTGTTTCTGGCAGGGCCGTCACACGCATGCATCTCGCACAGTGGAGGCCAGGTGGTCACTGACCCGTTTCCAGGATGGACGCCCTGCTGCAGGGTAATCCCTTCCCTTGGAGTGAGTGTTGACTTCCGTGTTTCTGTAACTGAGTGTTGACCGAGGCACAACCTTTGTTATTCCAGCGGGGGCTGGAGTTGGATCCGACAGATGGTCCATAATAGACCACCTCCTGTGTTCACGTGGCTGCCACAGATGGCCTGTGTGGTGGTGAGGCCCACTCAGCTGACTGTGCTCTCCTTTCTGGCCAATGTGTTAGACCCAGTGCATGCAATGGAAACAGCACAGGCTGTCTGCAGCCTCAGACTTCCTAGTAGCCCTGGTAACAGAAGTGGAGTGATGCAGGTGACATTAATTCTAGCAGGTTTTAGTTACTTCTGGATCCAACATTTCATCTCAACATGTAGTCTGTAGAAAATGTTAATTTGAACTTTACATTTTTTTTTTCACAGTTTTCAAAATGCACGTAGGATGAGATGTAGAAAACACTGAAGTGGCATTTCAGATGCGTCTGCTTCTGTTTGCCTCCACCTGCTGGGAAGTTGTGGTGGTCTCTGTGGCTTGCGTGTTGGGAAGTTGTGGTCTGCGTGACTTGCGTGTTGGGAAGTTGTGGTCTGCGTGGTTTGTGTGTTGGGAAGTTGTGGTCTGTGTGGCTTGTGTGTTGGGGAGTTGTGGTCTGCGTGGCATGCGTGTTGGGGAGTTGTGGTCTGCATGGCTTGTGTGGTTGGAGAGTTGTGGTCTGTATGGCTTGTGTGTTAGAGGGTGTGGTGTGTGGCTTGCGTGTTAGAGGGTGTGGGCTGTGTGGCTTGCATGCCTGGAAGTTGTGGTCTGCATGGCTTGTATGTTGGGAGGTTGTGGTCTGCATGGCTTGTGTGTTGGAAGGGTGTGGTCTGCATGCCTTATATGTTGGGAGGGTGTAGTCTGCATGGCTTTTGTGTTGGATGGTTGTGGTCTGTGTGGCTTGTGTGTTGGGAAATTGTGGTCTATGTGACTTGCATGTTGGGAAGTTGTGGTCTCTGTGGCTTGTGTGTTGGGAGGGTGTTGTCTGTGTGGCTTGTGTGTTGGGAGGGTGTAGTCTCTGGCTTGTGTGTTGGGAGAGTATGGTCTGCGTGGCTTGTGTGTTGGAGGGCGTGGTCTGCGTGGCTTGTGTTGGGAGGTTGTGGTCTGCATAGCTTGTGCGTTGGATGGGTGTGGACTGCCTGGCTTGCATGTTGGGGTGTTGTGGTCTGTGTGGCTTATGTGTTGGGAGGGTGTGGTCCTTGTGGCTTATGTGTTGGGAGGGTGTGGTCTGAATGCCTTGTGTGCTAGGGGGATGTGGTCTGCGTGGCTTGCATGCTGGGAAGTCGTAGTCTCTGTGCCTTGCATGTTGGCAGGGTGTGGTCTGCATGGCTTGTGTGTTGGAAGGGTGTGGTACTCATGACTTGTGTTTTGGGAGTTTATGTGGCTTGCATGTTGGGAGGGTGTGGTCTGTGTTGCTTGTGTGTTGAGGAAATTGTGGTCTGCATGGCTTGTGTTGGGGAAATTGTGGTCTGCATGGCTTGTGTGTTGGGGAAATTGTGGTCTGCATGACTTGCATGTTGGGAAGTTGTGGTCTGTGGCTTGTGTGTTGGGAAGTTGTGGTCTGTGTGGCTTGTGTGTTGGGGGTTGTGGTCAGCGTGGCTTGTGTGTTAGAAGAGTGTGGTCTGTGTGGGTTGTGTGTTGGGAAGTTGCATGGCTTGTGTGTTGGGAGGGTGTGTTCTGCGTGGCCTGCGTATTGGGAAGTTGTCTGCGTGGCCTGCGTGTTGGGAAGTTGTCTGCGTGGCTTGTATGTTGGGAAGGTATGGTCTGCACGGCTTGTGTGTTGGGGAAATTGTGGTCTGCGTGGCTTGCACTGTAGTTCTGTTGGATGGCCTTGCTCTGCACACTGTGCTTCATCCTTGGAATTGTCACATTCTCCAAGGAACCCTGGTTTCTTTATTAGAGAACCTTGTTTAGAAGCCAAGACCCAGGCATTGGGAAGCCCTCTCAGCATATAGACCTGGGAAATGCCTGTGTGTGTTCTGCACCACATACGTGGACACTATGTGTAGAAAGAATCAGTTGACACCTGTGTTTACTGTGTTGAAAACTGTGTTTTTACAGAGAAACTTCCAGTTCCATCTGCACCGTGGGTCCACCCCACTACTTCCCTTTCGGTTTTGTACCTGCACCGTGAGGACCTGACTCACTTGCCCTTAATCTGTGTATCAAATCCGTGCCCCATGGTACCTGATCTTCTGCCTTTACCCCAATGCCCTGGCCATCCTGTCTGGGCTCTGATACTTCGCATGGGTTGGGGGGCTGCCCCCACATAAACGTGCTGCTCCTCCCCTCGGGCTGGGTGGCTGCTCTGACCACAGTGTGGATATCACCCCTGCACTGGAGCCCAGCCATGCCCACACGGCAGCCCTCCTCCCCCTGACCCCTACACTGCACACACCACTGCCTCCTCATCCTGGGTCCTCCCGATGGTGGGTTTTTAAATGGGAACCAGTTCACACATGCCTGAGAGCTAGAGCTGCCCGCCGTCAGGGTGGTGCCATGCTAACCTGACCTTTACATTTTCTTCAGGCTCACAAGCAATTTTAAATGTTTGTTCTGGGTAAAGGTTTGTGTTTCAGTGGTGCCCCTTTCAGCAGGGCCACAGGGAGCCTAAGAGGTTCTTGTGACACCAGCGTGCACTCTGCTGTTGGCAGGGAGTCTTACATTCCTGGAGGTGCCATGCAGGGGCCTCTGGCATTTGTTCTTGGACAAAGTTGGTTTTACCCCCATGAAGTCCTGCTCGTTGGCCTTCATTTCGTTTGTGCTGCGCTGCCCCTCGGCAGGGACAGACGCTCAGGCCGTGCTTCCTTCCAGATGGGCTATCTGAAGAGGAACGGGGATGGCAGCCTGCTCTACAGCGTGGTCAACACGGCCGAACCGGATGCTGATGGTGGGTGCCCGCTCGCGGCTGGCTTTCTGCTCTCTGTACGCTGCTTTTCGGGTCTCCATTCATGTTCTGTGATGAAAAGAGCGCGTTGTCTGTTTAGAGCCCGAGCCATTGGCTGGGGGAAGCACGAGAAGCTGAGCAGCTTCCTGTCCCTGCATGCTCTGGTGTGACACGCGTGCCAAGGGGAGGCGGAGGCGGCTGTGCCATGGGCGGGGGTGCCAGGTGGACCTTCTCCTCAGGGCTCCTTGGGAGCAGCGGGACTCGGGCACGTTCCTGAAAAGCTGCTGAAAAGCCCTTAAGGCTGAACCTCTTTAGCATCGGGAATGGCTCCCAAGTTCAGTCTTCAGCAAATACCAGAGTGCGGACCCACCCTGCTCCTTGAGCCTGGAAAGTGGCCTTAGAAGAAAAGTCTTGTTTGGTGATCACGTCAAGGAAGATGGTGAAGGCGGCCGGCACCCTAGGCCTGTCCGGCCTGTCGTGGGCGCCTTCATGGCCTGGGAGTCACTAAGAGGCTCGTCCTTGGAATAAAAGTGTGACTCACTTGGCTTTGAAGCACACTCGCAGGCACATGGGACCATGCCGTCTGGCAAGGGCTGCCTTTCCATCTTCCACTTTCCTCGCTCCCACTGCATGCCTGCCAGCGGGTGAAGCTAACGTGGTCTTTCACCCAGCTGCAGCGTGCCGGCCTGGTTTCCCCAGTGTGTGAAGAATGTAAACTAGTGGACCTATTTGGTCCTCGGCTGATTTTCCTGAAAGGGGCAGACTGCTGGTCCGTATTTAGCTTAAGAAGGAGTATCGAGACTGAGGTGCTGGTTAGGACCCGAGGAACTCCTGCTCTGACCCCGTGAGTCGCATGTGGGTGGTGATTCCGCACAGGGGATGCCTGTCAGATTCATGCATTCCGGGTGCACGAGCCACGTCTTCACTGTCAGAGCACGGAGGACCAGATTTCTTCTTGGAGGTGTTGAGTGATCCATTTGAGAACATTCACAGTATTGCTGGTGTGGTGGCCAAAGATGTGGTATTTTTTATTGTGTTGATTTTGGGGTGATAAGTGAAATTGCAGTGCAGTTAGTTTTGAGAATAGTAGCTGGTGTTGCAGATTCATTTTCAGGAGATCAGTATAAAATCCCCCACCCCCCACAGTCAGATCCACTGTGATACGGAGAAAGGGCTCCCGGCGCTGCATGGGGCGCTTGTGGGGTCATGCCTTCTGCTCACAGCACTGCACTGGGGCTCCCGGCGCTGCATGGGGCGTGTGTGGGGTCATGCCTTCTGCTCACAGCGCTGCACTGGGACTCCTAGCGCTGCACTGGGAGGCACGGGTCATGCTGCTGCTCATGTCTGCCCTGTCCATGTTGCAGAGGAGGAGACCCACCCAGTGGACTTGAGCTCGCTGTCCAGTAAGCTGCTCCCAGGCTTCACCACGCTGGGCTTCAAAGACGAAAGAAGAAACAAAGGTAAATGCATGGTCCCATCCCAGGAGCTGGCTGGCCCGGGAAGGTGGGAGGGGTTTAGTGGCGGGAAGGCAAATGCTGCCGATTGCTACTTCAGGGTTTCCTTGTGTGCGTTTGTGCCTCTATCTGGATTCGTATTTTCACATGGATGAGACTGAGATCAGTCACAGTGATGGGAGTAAAGCTTGTGTTGGATGAGTTTGCTGTGAAACGCACAGTGAGCACCTTGGTTGCTGTCACTGGACTTCACCTTGGTCAGTGTTTTGCTGTCCTTGTGTTTGTGTCCCTGTCGCGTTTATAAAACACCCTTTTGGGGGTCTCTGTGGCCTCTGGTCCCTGGCTCTGGCCGGCCTGTGTGTTGCTCTCTCTGTCTGCACTGCTGCCCCCTGGCTGCGCTGCTGCTGGGACCTCCTGCACGGCTCCGCCTTCCGCTTCTCCACCTCTGCTGGGTCCCTCCCGTGCAGACATCTGCAGGGTCACTGCTCCCGCCTCTGCCTCAGCCACTCACACCATCTGCTAATAGGACAGCTCACTTTCCCTCCAAACCATGGCCTTGGCTCGAGAGCACCCTTCTTTCTGGAATGTGCTTTCCTCCAGCTCCAGGGGTTGGAAAGCTGCCTGGTCAGGGTCTCCTGTTGAAGGACGCCTTCCACAGGGAAGGGTCCTCTTGCCTTCGTCAGCCCCGCGTCCCTCTTTCTCTTGGGCCTGTCATGGCTGTTGGTAGTTTTCTCGTGTCTGACAGACGCCTTGTTCTCACCCTCTAACACAGTTCTCAGCCACAACAGTTCTGTCCCTGGGGACGTTTGGCAATGTCCGGATGTGCTGATGGTCCCATTGGGGTGGGGGTGCTGCTGGCATCTGGTGAGGAGAGGCCGGGGGTGCTGCTCCACGCCCTGTGGGACACCGTGTGGCACACCTGGCCCATGGTGTCGTCTTGTGGAGGTCGAGAAGCCCTGTGCTGGCACGGACTGTCTGATTGACTCTTGTGTCCCTGGAGCGAGAGCTGGCCCTGGGTGGCTTGGGCACTGCAGTGCGCGTGGGTTGGGATGCTGGGCGCTGCTGGACAGTGCTCTCTGCCCGAGTCCCCGCGAAGCTCTTTTGCTTGTAGAGCTCACCCCTTTGCAGAAAGCTCATTTCTCTGCAGTCTTTGGCCTGCAACAGTAAAACAAGGGGTGGTGAATTACACGCCTGCTGATGACACATGGAAAACTTACACACGGGAGCGAGAAATTTGTGGAGAGCAAGAGAGGAGGGACTGCGGTGCTGGCTGCCAGCCAGGCGGTCCTCAGCTGGAGACGTGGTGGGGCCTGCGCTCCAAGTCCTTCACCGAGCCCAGTGATGCTCTTTCTCCTGTTCTTCCTAGTTACGTTTCTCTCCAGTGCCACGACTGCACTTTCAATGCAGAACAATTCAGTGTTTGGTGACTTGAAGTCGGACGAGATGGAGCTGCTGTATTCAGCCTACGGAGATGAGACAGGCGTGCAGTGTGCGCTGAGGTCAGTGTTGGCCCCGGGGAGCCTGCGCCTGCTGTGCAGTGTGAGCCGCGTCCTGGTGTGGGGCCCGGAGCGTGGGGCCCCGCGTGTGTGCCACCTGCAGCCGTCCAGGTGGCAGATGGGTCTTCCTGCTGCTTTCAGTCTCCACCCTGGTCTGCCACAGGCCAGTCCTGAAATTTGGGTAACTCAGAGTTGCAGGAAAGCCGTGATCAGGTGAAGCTTGTGAAGGGGTGGGGGCGTGTTCAGCCCACTGCATCGTATTGAATTGTGTTTCTTAAGTGGCCATACTAGCCCAGGCTGCCATGACAAAGCGTCACAGACCGGGGTCCTAGTCCTGGAGGCTGATGTCTGTGGTGAAGGTGTGTGCAGAGCTGGTTCCTCCCGAGCCCTCGCTCCTGGGCCTGCAGGTGCCGACCGCTGTGCCTTCCCGGGCTCGTCCTATGCGTGTCTGTGTCCCCACCTCTCTTGGAGAACTGACCGTTCTACAAGGACACTGGTCATATTGGATCAGGGCCACCCTAAATGACCTCAGGTCACTGCAGCTACTTCTAAAGGCTCTGGCTCCAAGTGCAGTCACATTCAGAGGCACTGGGGTCAGAATTTCAGCTTAGGAACTTCGAGCGGGAGACATAGTTCAGGCCATGGCAGGCTAAAGTATAATCCTGAAATCACAAATGGGGTGGTCTGCCTTTCCATAGAACTTTGTTGCGTGTTTCTTGGTTTCTGTGGCAAAATAAAAGTGGGTCACTCCTATAAAATTTTAGCAGTGTTTTATGGGGAAAGTAAGTTAATTTTGCTAGCCTCTAAGAAATGGAATCTTGAGATGTCAGGTCTTCATTTTATTCCAAGAATGCAGAATATATTTGAAAAATAAACAAGAATCCAGTTAGTGCTTAATAAAATGAGTGAATACCTGACCCCGATTTTTGTGGTAAAAAAGGAAATAAATGTGGAAAATGAAGAGAAAATTTTGGTAGGAGATGATAGAGTCATAACTCGGAAATTAAAGAGTTGGTCACCCCCGCTTGCCAGCCCCCACCTCACCCCTGCTGTGGGGCCTCTGGCCAGCATGGGCCAAGGCCGCAGCTACCCTGGCACCACCTGCCCACGATTCGTGGCTCCTCCAGGACATCAGTCACCCGTTGTCCATGTGGCTGTCATCAGCGGACTCTGTGTATCCCCTGCCTCCCCCAACTGTCAGCTCCTAGAATGCGTAAGGTTCCATGTTGCCATGAAGCAAAGATCTTACTGACCCCGCCTACCTCGCAGCCACGGGGACAACACTAAGAAGCACGTCTTCTAGGGCCTGGCGTGGGTCTGCATGGTAGCACATCCCCTGGGGCCTGGCGTGGGCCGTGTGGTACACATCCCCTGGGGCCTGGCGTGGGCCGTGTGGTACACATCCCCTGGGGCCTGGCGTGGGCCGTGTGGTAGCCCATCCCTAGAGCCTGGCGTGGGCCCAGTGTGGGCCCGCGTCGTAGCACATCCCCCGGGGCCTGGCGTGGGCCGTGTGGTAGCACATCCCCTGGGGCCTGGCGTGGGCCGTGTGGTAGCGCATCCCTAGGGCCTGGCGTGAGCCCAGTGTGGGCCCGCATCGTAGCACATCCCCTGGGGCCTGGCGTGGGCCTGCGTGGTAGCACATCCCTAGGGCCTGGCGTGGGTTTGCGTGGCAGCACATCCCTGGGGCCTGGCGCGGGCCCACGTGGCAGCACATCCCTGGGGCCTGGCGCGGGCCCACATGGCAGCACATCCCTGGGGCCTGGCGCGGGCCCACGTGGCAGCACATCCCTGGGGCCTGGCGCGGGCCTGCGTGGTAGCACATTGCATGTCCCCTGGGCCCTGGCATGGGCCTATGTGGTAGCACATCTCTAGGGCCTGGCATGGGCCCGTGTGGTAGCACATCTGCTGGGGCCTGGCATGGGCCTGTGTGGTAGCACATCTCCTGGGGCCTGGCATGGGCCCGTGTGGTAGCACATCTGGGGCCTGGCATGGGCCTGTGTGGTAGCACATCTCCTGGGGCCTGGTGTGGGCCCGTGTGGTAGCACATCTCTTGGGCCCACATGTTTGCATGTCTCCTGGGGCCTGGCATGGGCCTGTGTGGTCCCACACCAGCCTCGGCGCACAGGCACCCAGATCCTCTGCCCCTGAGTGCTTTCCTGTGCACACTGTAATTGCAGAACTTGGCCTCTTCCAGGCTGTGGGCATTTTAACCAAGACGTGGAGTCTCCTTAGTGCCTCCTGGGACTGTGGTTGAGCTTCTGAGGAGCTTTTCTGAGGCCCTTGCTTGGTGCTTTGATTCTAAGACTATGCATTTTTGTTCCTGGCCTATTTTTTAAATTGTATTATATTTTAGTTCTTTAAGCTATTTCATTTATATGGCCAAGAATCAGGGTGATACCCAAAGGAGCACCCTGGAAGTCTTGCCCCGCCCCTGCCCCTTCTACCTCTTCCTCGCCAGCAGGCACTGCCCACCACTGTGCCTCCATCCACACCCACTTCTGTTTTTAAACACGTAGAAGATCGGGCTGCCTTGTTACAGATGATGGCACCGTAGCTTGTGTGTTGCTAGGCTGTGCGCATGCGCGTTCATAGTGTTCTCCCCTCTCACCCAGAGATCTTTTCAACCTTTTTGGGTCATGGACCACTTTGAAAATCTCATGAACACTGTCAGTCACTCCACTAGAAATACCCACTCTGGGAGCATCATGGGACCGTCTGAGGAGCTGGGCTGGCACGGCCAGTGGTGATCAGGGCCGCTGGGAGGACCAGGCAACACATGCTTGGCATGGAGCACACAGCGTGCCTTTCAGTACGCCTTCTCCCGTGGCCCCTCCAGCCTGCAGGAGTTTGTGAAGGATGCTGGAAGCTACAGCAAGAAAGTGGTGGACGACCTCCTAGACCAGATCACAGGTGGAGACCACTCCAGGACGCTCTTCCAGCTGAAGCAGGTGGGCTGCGCTTGCGCCAGGTGGGTAAGTGCCCTTGGGGTGGTCCTGATGGGAAGAGCCTGCAGCCTGACCAGGCTCTCAGGGACGAGAAGCTGTCACAGGGACTCGGCTGCCGGCTGCTCGTCAGCATCTGTGTGCTGCTCTGCACAGCAGCGTCCTTCAGAGACCATCCCTGTGCTCCCCGTCCCGCCGTGCGTCATAACTCTTCCCAGACGCCTTTCATCTGCTAACACTTTGCTTCATCCCGAAGCATTTTAAAGATAGTTCCTGTAGTACAGATCTACTGACAGTGAGCTCTCAGCATTTGTCTGTCTAAAAGTCTTTATTTCATCTTCATTTTTGAAATTCACTTTCCCTGGGTATGGAATTTGAGATGACCTTTTTTCCTCTACCGTAAAATAAGTTTGACTTGCATCGTTTCTAGTCATTTTCATCTCTGGTTTCCACATGTGACGTGTCTTTTTGGCAAACTGCAGCCCATAGGCCAGATCTGCCCTGCAGTCTGCTCTTGTACAGACCACAAGCCAAGAATGCCTTTTACATCTGTAAAAGGTTGTTTAACGGAAAGGAAGAAGAAGATGCTGCCGGCAGTGTGCGGCTCGCAGGGCCTCGGGCGGTCACCCCCGGCGCTTGGCAGGCTGGGCTGCTGGCCGGTGCTCTGGCAGCTTTTGAACTTTATTTATCAGTGATTTTCAGCATTGTATTTTTCAGGTGCCTTGGTGGGCTTTTCTTTGTGTCTGTTGTGCTTAGCATTTGTTGTTTCTTGGATCTGTTTGTCTGTGGTTTCCATCATATTTGGAAGGTTTTAAGCCATTACTCAAATGCCATTTTCCGCCCTTGCCTCTTCCTCTTCCTGCTGGACTGTGGCGGCTGACAGCTGGTTTTATCTCACGTGGCTCTGACGCTTTGTGCTGCACACAGCAGGTGCGGATTAGTTTAGTTTCCGATGCTGTGGCTTTCAGTTCACTGACCTGTTCCCTGGGGGCACACCTGAACCTATTGTCGCAGTTCAGTTTTCACTGGTGGCGCTGCCCCGTGCTGCTCGTCGCTGGGGCTCCATTTGCTTCTGTGCATCTTCTCTTCCCTCATATTAGTTTATGTTTTCCCTTAAACCCTCAAGCCATGTTTGTCGTACTTACTGCAGCTGCCTTCAGAGTCCTCAGGCACTGACTCTGTCGCCTCTAGCGTTTCCTGTTTTGTTTCTGTTTGCTGCTTCACTGCACTTGGAGCCTGGGGTGTTGTGCATGCGCCTGGCGGAATGTGAAGAGTAATTTTATTGTGGCAGCTAGAATTGAAGAGCTGGGTACAGTGGCATGCACCTGTCATCCCAGCTCCTCGGGAGCCTGAGGTGGGAAGATCACTTGAGGCTGGGAGGTTGAGGCTGCAGTGAGCTGGGGTTGCACCCTGCACTCCAGCCTAGGCAATAGTGCAAGGCCCTGTCTCAAAAAAAAAAAACAACAAAGAAAACATTTAGAATGAGGTGTGTGCTCACTTCATGTCTGCTGGGCAAGGCTGATCAGGGTTCTGCTCTCTTTCAGAGAGTATCATTTTGGCACTTGTTACCTGTGGATCACCTGATCTTACCAGGCTTATCTAGGGCGGGTCCAGGGCAGCCTTATTCTAGGGTTGGCGTGGCCTTGCTAAGGAGCGTCCCTTCTGGGAGCTCTTGGCCCCAACTCTTCCGCGCAGTTTCTGCTATGGGTGGAGTTCAGATGAGTCTCTGTCCTGCCCAAGCTCTGAGGACGTTTGGCTCATGGCTCCCAGGAGTAGTCAGTCTGTTGACTTCACAGTTTCATCTGTGCTTGTGACACAGGAACCGGGTCCACTTGCCTGGTGTAGTAAACCCAGGCCCCCACGCTGAGGTTTGTCGTGGTAGAAAAGAAAACTTGTATTTGCAGAGCGCCAAGCAAGGAGGGCCAGGAAGCTCGTGTGTAAATCCTGGCCTCCCCCACTGGCTACGGGCGAGGTTTTTAAAGCGGGGTAGAGCTCCAGAAAACAGAACCGAAAGGCAGAATTGTGCGTCAGTACACGGAGGTTATGCGTAGGTTTGGCCCGTAAGGTGGCATGTCTCCAGGCAGGGCCTTACGGGTGATAGGTGGATTCAAAGGTTTTCTGATTTGCAGTCAGTTAAGAAGGAGAAGCTTTGTTTAAAAATTCGGGGTGACAAGGAAAGAATGTTAGCTTAGACTTGTGAGTGTGGCTCCCTCCAGGCCCCTCAGGAAGAAATTCAGAACAAAGGATGGGGTCAGGGTTCAGTCTCCAGTTTCTCCTTATCTGAGGCCTGCATGCCAGTAGATTGGTTTGGTGGGGGTCCTAGGTGAAGGGTCCAGGTTTCTGAAAGATAACTCGGGGATATGCATTCAGATGTTATCTTTACTTACTTTTTTTTTTTTTTTTTTGGGGGACAGAATCTCACTGTCGTCCAGGCTGGAGTGCAGTGGCGTGACCTTGGCTCACTGCAACCTCTGCCCACTATGTTCAAGCGCTTTTCCTGCCTCGGCCCCCCGAGTAGCTGGGACTACAGGCCTGCACCACCTCACCCAGCTAATTTTTGTATTTTTAGTAGAGACAAGGTCTCATCATTTTGGCCAGGCTGGTCTCGAACCCCTGACCTCAAATGATCCGCCCGTCTCGGCCTCCCAGAGTGCTGGGATGTTGTCTTTACTTTCTGTCCCTAGAAACATCTGACTCCGACTTCCTTGGCTGTTGTTTTAGGATACTGTTACCTTCTGCTTATCAAGTTGCTGATTTACTTCTCTGGGTTAGCTAGGTACCTGGAATGTCCCTTGAAGGAACTCAAGATTTTCTTTGATTTCCATGCTTGGGGGCCCCAGAGGCCCCTGGAGAGAGGGTCCCTACACTGCCTCACTTGCACAGGTGAGGTTGCAACCAGGTGGGATCCCCCACGCAGATTTCTGCAGCTCTGAGGAGCAGCCCCCTTGGCAGAACCTGCCCGACCAGCCTGTGGTTCTAACTCTGAGCTCTGTCACCCTCCTGTGTCATGGCCTGTGGGTTCCCTCCAGGCAGGAAGCCAGCTCCTCCACATGGTGTTAGAAGCAGCATTGCTGTGTGGGAGGGAAAGTGACCCCCTTCACAGCCCGGAAATGGGATTGCTCCGTGGGTTTCCACTCCGGGTTCCGGTTGAGTTCCTTCCAGGAGAGTGAACTTGGATACAGAGTTGAGTGACCGCAGGCGCACCCCTGCAGCTGTAATGTGGACAGAAGGCTTGTATGTGGAAACACGCGAACGTAATGGCAGTGTTCATTTTCTAATTCAAAACTTGTGAAAATCAGTGAATCTGAGAAACATTATTTTGAGCAAAGATCACAGATGATAAGAGTGCTTTTGAGGCACATACTCGGCATTTCTAAGGCAGTGCCCCACTGGAGCACAGGATGGGGGTGCCCTGGAGGCTGACGGCCGTGGCAGGGAGCGAATTACCAGGAGGCGTCTGCCTCTGTGCTCCTGTGCACACCTGCCCCTGCGGGACCCCAGCTGGTCTCAGGCACCTGGTCATATTCCAGGGGGAACCCACTGGGCCCTTTTTATCCTCAGCTGCCCGTAGGACCTAAGTACATCGGTTTTCTTTTGTTTTAAACCACCGAAGGCGGCCGAAGCTGCATCAGCGTCCTCTCTCTCTCCTCTCCGTCTCACCCCGTGGAGCGTTCTCCCGGCACACACTGCTGGTGTGAGGACTGGACTGGCTCACACAGTCCTGGTGTGAGGAGTGGGCTGGCTGCTGGTGATGAAGAAGGCTTGCAGGACCCCTAGCCTGAATCCATTAAGATGGTGTGACTGAGGAGCAGAATTCACAGAAGCCATTTTTATGGGTGTGTAATGTCAGTGAATTTTCCTTTTATATAAAATCGCTCTGGAAAAACTAGTTTCTGTCCTAATTTACTTTGCAGAGAAGAAATGTTCCCATGAAACCTCCAGATGAAGCCAAGGTGAGTTTTGAACATGGAAGTGCCAGCCTAACGTTAGGATTCTTGTTGGGAAGGTCGTGTCCGGCCTTTGAGGTGGAAGAGACCGTGTATTGCGGTTGGGAAACGGGGTCTGTTTCTGGCCGATGAGATTAACTAGTAGTGTTCCCCTGCGCTGCCTTTTCATGACTTGGGGTGAGTGGTGTGAAGCCGCAGGACCTTCTTCCAAATCCAGAAGTGGTAGTTTCAGAGCAATTGGCCCCAGGTGCTGTCCTTGCGGGACATCCTAGCAGGGGGTGGGCAGGAGGGGCCTGCGTGGGACCTGCTTGGTGAGTAGCAGGTGCTGTCCCCAGCACAGTGGGCTGTGGGGTCAGTGTTGGCAGGGCAGTGCTGTGAGCTCAGACCGCTGCACCTGCCCATTGGCAAGCGTGTGTCTCCATCCATCGGCAGGATGAGGAGGATGGGCTTTGGTCTACGATCCCTGGGAACTTGGAGAGATCCCTTAACATCTGTGTGAGGGCAGAAGCCGGGCTGCAGGGAGCTGACGAGAGTGCGCCTTAGGGTGCTGTAGTCAGGCCTTCAGGACACCCCTCCTGGGAAAGGAAAGGGAAAGTGGTGTGCTCTGTGAGGTCCCTGAAAAATAGCCGTAGACCCTTAAATTTCATATATCTTCTTGCTTCATAATGTCCCTCCCCAATTTCTTTAACCCCAAGACATTAGCAGAGGATTATTGTTTGCATTGTTGGTGCGAGTGGAGTTTTCAGTTAGTAGAGGGTGATTGTTTACATTGCTGGTCTGCGTGGAGTTTTCGGTTAGCAGAGGATCATCGTTTGCATCGTTGGTGTGAGTGGAGTTTTCGGTCAGCAGAGGATCATCATTTGCATCGTTGGTGTGAATGGAGTTTTCGGTCAGCAGAGGATCATTGTTTGCATCGTCTGAGTGGAGTTTTTGGTTAGCAGAGGATCATCGTTTGCATTGTTGGTGTGAGTGGAGTTTTCGGTCAGTAGAGGATCATTGTTTTGCATTGTCTGAGTGGAGTTTTTGGTTAGCAGAGGATTATCATTTGCATTGTTGGTGTGAGTGGAGTTTTCGGTCAGCAGAGGATCATCGTTCTGCATTGTCTGAGTGGAGTTTTCAGTTAGTAGAGGATCATCATTTGCATTGTCTGGAGTTTTCGGTTAGCAGTGGATTATCATTTTCATTGTTGGTCTGAGTGGAGTTTTCGGTCAGCAGAGGATTATCATTTTCATTGTTGGTCTGAGTGGAGTTTTCATTTAACAGAGGATCATCGTTTGCATTGTTGGCCTGAGTAAGATTTGCTTTGACAGAGATTTGCACATCAATTGATGAGCTCAAACCTGATAGCTCCTTGAAGCGCAGCCTCAGTGAACAGGGCTAGGTCTTGTCACTTACTGAGGGGTGGACCCATGTTTAGCAAATAAGTAGAGTGATTTCAGAGTGAGGATTAAGTAGCATTTCATTTTTTGTTTGATGTTTCATTCGAGCTTGATACATGTCTGTCTCCCACAGGTTGGGGACGCCCTCGGAGACAGTGGTGGCTCTGTTCTGGATTTCATGTCGATGAAGCCGTATCCTGACGTGTCTCTGGACATCTCCATGCTCAGCTCTCTGGGTGAGTGGTACCAGGTGATAGCGCTTTCCCGCAGGGCCCAGAGATGGTGTGATGTCAGAATAAAATACTTGGTCTCCACCTCCTCTCCCTTCCGGACTAGACAGGCATGCAAGGAAACTCTTCTGTCAGTATTTGGTCTTTGTCCCTGATTTTTGGTCCATGGCTCCTAAACCCCTGGAATCTCCTGAGTTAGGCATCTCTTTTAAGCTGATGAGAAGTGGTTGCAGCCCCTGGGTAACCTCAGAATGGGGTCTGGCTGATCCCCAGTAGCTGTAGACTTCATGAGTGTTGCCTTCTGCCTCCGTGAAATCCCAAAAGGTGGGGTTCCCTTGTGAGCTGCCTCAGTGCCGGATGCCTTGAGGCTCCAGGAAGAAGGCATCCGCTTCCCACGGTTCCCTCCGCTTTGCCCCCACCTGGGGCTCACGTGTGCCCTAGGCTACGCTCCGCACAGTAAACGGGTAATGTGAGGCGAGCGTGCTGAGAAAAGAGTCAGACTGTGCAGAGTATTTAGAGAGGGTCATTCTGAGTCAAATATGAAGACTGGCTGTGACAGTCCAGGAGGTCCCAAGAGCACTCGCCCAGAGGGCTGGGTTTGATTTCCTGTTTCAGGGAGACATGGCATCCATCAGTACGTGTCAGGTGTTACGGTGCTCATTGTGGAAAGGTAGGACAGCTTGAAGCGAGGAACTTCAGGTCACTGGTGGATTGAAAGATTTCCTGATTGGCATTTGGTTGAAAGGTTGAGCCCTGAGAGCTGAAGTCGTAGAGGAGTGTGTGCGGTTAAGATAAGGGGTTGTGGAAGCCAAGGCTCCTGTCACATCGATGAAGCCTTCAGGTTGCAGGCTTCGAAAAGAATGGAGCAGATGGTAAGTGTCGCTCATCAGCCCCTGAAAGGTACCAGATTCTTGGTTAAATCTCTCCTGGGTCAGGAAGAGACTTGGAAGGGGAAGGAGATCTCCTGAATGTACATTTTCCCACAAGAGACAGCTTTGCAGCCATTTCAAAATATGTCAGAGAAATACACTTTGAGGTAAAACACTCAAGTTTCTTTCAGGGCTGCATCTGTCGCGTGATGCTGTACTAGAGTTGGGTTGGAATGTGGTGTCTTGTTACCACAGAGTCTGCTTTGTCAGTATTGACATCCCTGTTTAATGTTACTGCTGGTCAGCTGTGCCTGGATTCCAAAATGGAGGGATAAAGAGGCAAGTCCAGTCCCGCTTCACGTCATGGCCTGAACCCGCTTTCCAGGCTGAATTTGGAGTGCCCTTGGCCAAGAGTAGGAATCCGTTCTATCTGTGGGGCTTAGAATTTTAATCTTACGGATGTTGCTGTGACTTCTGTGAGTCACACTAGGAAGTTCATAGAACTCAAGTGAGGTATTATGAGAACCCCATTTTATAGCTGGTCAGTCGGAAGCACAGACCCCAGCCTGGCATCGGGCGGTGGGGGGGGGGCACATTCCTGGAGACGGAGCCCTCCCCTGGGAGCTACACGGCAGCCTGTGCAGAGCCTCCCAGCTGTTCAGACCACCAACAGCATCTGTGGTACCTGGAACCACGCATCCCCCTAGTTCCCGTGGTGACATTGCATCTGCCTCTGCTGGCTCTATTCTGGCACTTAGGGTCATGATTTATTGTAGGGGAAGGGCACCAACAGCAGCATAGGGACAAGAGTACAGATGACACCCAGGGAATCCAGCGTGA